TCCACCGACACTTGAGCAGTAGGACACATGGCCGACAGCCCACTCTTTCCTTCAGCTTCTGAAGAACTACCCACCACCCCCTTGTCTTATTTCTTTGATTACTTCTTATTCTTCATCTTGGATTCATGTGTGTCTGTTTATACCTTAGATTTTGATATTTCTCACAAGTCTTCCCCGTTTCCCCCAGAATCAGTGTGAGGAGACATAGTATGGTACACCCTCTACCACATTCCCTCATTCATTCAACACTCATTCTTTGATAGCCACTGTCTTAGCCTGAGAACACAGCTGTAAACAAAAATGTCCACAAGTCTTCCTCCAAGGAACATACAGTTTCACAAGAGACATGTGATGGTCAAAGAATTACACAAACAAATAATTGCACATCATGACTCATGCTATGGAAGAAAGGAACATACACAACAATACACACATAAATATGAATGAATATGAACTTTAGCCCCATCTTCTTCAACAACAGGGCTGGGGACATGAGAACAGGTTATAGGGATTGACTTCTGAGTTAGAAATCTGAGGATTACATGTATGAATGAAGATATGAAGACTGTTTAAAATGGAGGGGGGAGGCAGGTGAAATGCTGTAGTTGCAGCATTTGGGAGGCAGAGGCAGGAGAATCAGGAGCTCAAGGCCCGCTTCAGCTGGGTTAAGTGGGGCCCCCATGTCAAAACAAAACAAAATATCATAATCAGGGGACAACACATAAAAATGAGGTACAGTAATTATGAGGGCAGTACAGTAAACATTAAGTTTTAAGGTATGAGTAAGCCTCAGTCCACACAGGCCCCTGAGAGATTATCTAAAAATTAGGACTCTGCCAAAACACAATGAGAGTCACTAGAGAGTTCTAAACGGGGCAATGGCCTAATTATATTGGCAGTTTGGAAATATTTGGGGTTTTGTTTTGAATTACATTTATGTATTTATTTATCTATTCGTGTGTGTGTGTGTGTGTGTGTGTGTGTGTGTGTGTGTGTGTGTGTGTGTGTGTGACATTATGTGTGTGGAAGTCAAAGGACAACCTCTGGGAATTGGTTTTCTCCTTCCACCATGTGGGTTCTCTGGATAGAAATTCAAGTCTTCAGGCATGATGGCAAGCTCCTCTTTTCTCACTAAGACATAGCATCAGCCCAGATTTTTGTTTTTCAGAGCAAGATCTTGCTGTTTACTACCGTGCTTAGTGAAAAAAAAAATCATTTTCAATGCAGTGTAGAGAATGGATTCAAAAGTGCATCAGCAGGGGTGAGGCTTTTGTAGCATTCTAGGAAGGAGAGTTTTATAGGTTGGGCTTGAGAGTGGTTTAGTCTGAGAGGTATTTAGAAGGAAGTGAGGTAGAAAAGCCTAGGAAGAAATTACTACCTGACACTCTCTTCTAGCATCACGCTAACCCTGTCCCTTTACCCCATCCTAGTCACTTTTCATCCAGATCACTACTTCTGAGCATCATCCCAGAGGAGTTTCTTGAAAGACCTCAATGTTGTCTAAATGTAAGCCCCTTTTTCGGAAGCAAAATTCCAGACCCCCCCTTTTTTTTGAATTATAACCAACTGAGTTATAAAGGGGTACTAAAATTTGTTAGTCATAAAACTAAAATTAGCTCTTAACTGGAGTTCACAGAAGAATCTAATTTGGTTTTCTACTAAGAAGCCTGGCTGCCAGGCAATGTTTGGCAACGCTGCAAAGCTCCTGCATATAACACACACAGCTAGCTGGCATGCTCACCATTTTTAGGAAGGGCATTACCAGTGATGTTTAGAGCTGGTCATAGTTTATGGTGCCTGGCATTCATGCATTTTAATTACAAATTATGATAAATGGAGTGCCATCATGACTGACTTAATATGGCGTGAGTTACTTGATTAACTCTGGGGGGTAAAGGCAAGAGAGGCGAGAGATACCTCTCTGACCTTACTTCTACTACTTGCCTGCCTTTCTAGCTGATCCAAAACAGGAGTAGTGGGGCAGCCTCAGGAGCTTCACACGTGCTATGCCACTGTCCAGGAGACTCCCATTCCCTGTACCCCCAGGGATTTCATGCCCCCTGCCTTTCCTAAAGGTCTTTGCTCTGTTGTTGCCTCTGTGAGACTGTATCTGAACATTTATTTAAATTATAATTATCTGACCCCGAATGTCTAACCATATCACCCTGATTTGTATTTCTTCTTGGCACCTACTGCCATCTAACATACCACATGTTTTATTTATTTATTGACAATTTCCCTACATGTAGAAGATACATTCCATGAGAGCTTATCTTGTGTGTGTGTGTGTGTGTGTGTGTGTGTGTGTGTGTGTGTGTTGTTTCTTTCTCTGCCACCAATACCTATGACAGTACCTGGCACAGAGTAGACAGCCCATCTGTAATTACTGCATTAGAAGGAGTAGTTACCTCATGAGGATTTTTTAACCCTCTTAGTCCCTTACAGCTCCTAAGCCATAGATGAACATAGTTCACATCCAAATCATTCATAATCCTGCTGCCAAAGCAGCCACACACAGGAGCCCAGAAGAGTGTGTTTATACATGCATTTATGTATACATGCATTTACTCCTTCCCACCCATCAAACACACTCCAATGAAAACTTTCAAAGACCAGCTCATGCATTCAGATTAATATTCAACCAATTTCTTTTCAGAATTAAATATATGCAAGGTCTTATCCAAGAAACGGAGAGCAACAATGAACAAGAATACAGATTGGAGCTTTGCCACAATAGTTTATACAGTGGTAGCCATGTCACGCTATTCTATTTCCAGAAAGTGGACTTAGTCCTTTATAGGAAAAGATGAATACTGTGTTGAAACTTGACAGACATACAGTAAAGAAAAAGGAAATTTAGGGCAGGGCGAAGTAAAGCAGATGGCAGCAGATGGGAAAGACTGTACCAGTCACAGGGCAAGGGCAATTTCAAAGGTTTGAAGGAGAAAGAGAGTATGGATATCAATGCAGAGAAAGGGCAGGTCAGTATACTGATGGGAGAATTTTCACGTAGTTTATCGTTAAGTCTGAAGTAGACTGGGTAGCAATGAGCAGCCCATTCGGGGTCATCTGGCCTTATGAACCAACCTACTTACATTTTTGAGACTTTGAGGGCAACAGGAAATACTAAAAAGCGGGGCTGGAAAGATGATCCAGCCGTTGAGAGTGTGCACTGCTCTTGTAGGAGACCTGAGTTTGGTTTCCAGAGCCCACCTTGGGTGGCTAACAATCATCTGAAATTCTAACTCCAGGGGTATTTGATGCCTCTGAACTCAGCAGCCACCTACACACACACACCTACCTTTAAAAGAAGAAAGCACTAACGGACCTGATCAGTGGCATGACATAAGCTTCTCTCTGTCCTCTAACCATCCCAACGCTGACCTTTCCTCACCACCATGGGCTTCCAAGTCCTACTGTGTCGTCGTCCCCGTCCAGTCCCCCTCCCCCCAAGCCTCTCTACTGTTCCAACCTGCATGCCTTCCCCTCCTTCAGCCCCAGGAATCCTTCATCTTTCTGCTGTCCATTACACTGGGAGACAGAGACAACGCCCTAAGCATGTCCAGTACTAGGCATACCTTAGTACCTGCCTAATACAATCTAGCCTTTTTCTTACAACCCATGAGTACTTATCGTGTACTGAAATACCCTTCCCCACCAGTAGACAGTGCTGATGTGTGCAGTGGCCTCGGTTGCTCTCCTCCCTGTCTGTGGTCACTTCTTTCTGCATTCAATGTAACAAGTCACTGATGTTTCTCCAGTGAGACTGGAGACACTCGTCCTGTTTAAACTACAAGTTGCTAGAAAGAAATTCATTTGTGATTTAAAAAAAAAAAACAGAACAATGGTTAGGGGGCAGGGGGTAGTGAGAGCTGAGGAGGACTAAGGCACAGAGAACTTCTTGTGATAGAGGAGCTAGTCTGTATTTTGATTGTATCTATATAAGTGTACAACTCTGTTAAAACCTGAAGCTTATAAAAGGATCTATTTTATTATTAGAAACTAGCTGGACCTTGGTAATTTCATAAGCACATACAAGGGTTTCAAAATACAGCTCAGTCTCAACATAAAACTAGGGCACAAGAACAGAATAACCTCTCACTGGCTACAGAACTCTTAGGAATGGTAGGTTCTTCATCTGTAGATGGTCAGTGTAAAAGAAGCAGAGGGTACATATGCAAAAATATGTACCAAAATAAGCAAAGTCATAAATATCATGGACACAGATTTGTTCTCCAAACCTCAATATGCATAGGCTTAAGTATAGAAAACTTTAAAAAAAAATCCATGGTAAGAGAAAAACAATTTCTGAAGAACAGAGTCATTCTTTTCTATCCCAGAATGCTCCTTGAGAACCTGAGACTAGCTTTTCATCCATGGGGATGCTTGAAACTCCTGTGAGAAGGACATAGACACCACATTTTCATGGTTGAGTGGATGAGAGGCTCATAGGGAGGCGACTTGTGTTTGAGGGCAGAGATCATGATTGGGAAAAGGGACGTTCTCCTCATCCTCTCTGTTTGACTTCTCACTCTAAACACCCACACACAATCTACTCCGTAACACCTGTAAAGTTCTCTTGTGTCCCCTCTCAGAGCTCCCACGTGGCAAATGGCCTCGTCCCTACACTTAGCTCAGCACTAACAAGCAGCAAAGCGCCGGACAAAAAGTCCTTTGGGACAAGAATGAGGGGGCAATAAGAAAGGGACTGAGAGGAGTAGGGATGGGAGGGGTAAGGGCGATGGACTAGACAGGATGGGTCTGTGAAGTGAAGATGTGTAAATAATAAGGAAAAGACAGCTGCAACTAGAAGTAAAATGACAGTGGGTTCAGGAAAATATGGGGGAGGAGGGCAGGATCTGTTAGAGGGAACAGGACAATCAGGCCAGTGGGAACACAAGCCACGAGTCACAAGAGAGAGAGGTTAGAGATCAACAGGGAATAATTGGCGGTTAAGGTCAGAGGTCATCAGAAGACAGCAGGCCACAGTGTGACATTACCTGCTTACGAGGCTGTTTCTGGGGCATTGCTGCAAAAATAGATAGCTCCTCAAACCCTGAAAAACCTACAAAATGCTCCCTCTCCTGGAGAGAATTTTCTCCTTCTTGACCACACACAAGAAATGCAGACTCTCTTCCACTTCAATTCCCAGTTACCAGGGTTCTTCAGGGACAGCTGTCGTTGTGGTCCCCCGCGCCCTTGTAGAACAGCATCGGCTCCTCCCTGACGCGGTTACCCAGCAACCGATAAGCATTCAAAGCGCAGGCGCGCCTAGCGCCCCCTCCCGGCACGGGGAGGAGGCGGAGCTGGGTGCGCAAGGATCCTCTGGCTCCGCTAAGCCCCGCCCCCGCAGCGAAAATACGTCCGTGGGCCGCGAGCACTGGGAGCTCCCGCAAGTGGGCTGGGCTTGGGCGTCCAGACACCGCCTTCTCATGAATAATGCAGGATCCGGGCGGTGTCCCGGACCCGGAAGTGGAGTTGCAGAGTCACCGCAGTGGCTGAGCTGCTGACAGGAGGCGGCGGCGGAGGAGGAGGCGAGGCAAGACCTGCGGCTCCGCGGGGCCACTGCCGCGGTAGCTCTAGGCAACCCCACGGAGCTACGCCGGCCACAGTCAGCTCGCGAGCCTCTCGCCGCCTATCCATCCTTCCATCCGCTTATCCGCCCGACTGGTCCGGGGCGGCCTTGTCTGCATCATCTGCCGGACTTCTGGGGCCGCCGCCCCGCGCGGTCCCGTCGGCGTCCCTGGCCGCGCCCGGCCCCTGTCCCGCTCGCCCGCCGGCACCATGATGGAGGAGATCGACCGGTTCCAGGTGCCCACCGCGCACTCGGAGATGCAGCCGCTGGTGAGGGGGCGGGCGGCGGGCAGGCCAGGGCCGGGAGGGGCGCCGCCGGAGGGGAGGGAAGGAACTAGGCCGTGGGGATTGTGCGAGGGGGCGCCATCTGATAAGGCGGGGGGTGGAGGGAATGAAAACTCCTTGCCGGGGAAGGGAAGTCTTGCAGAGCGAGAAACCCGTGGGAGATTACCTGCGGTGAGAGAGAAGGACCTGGAAGGGCGGAGGGCACGGTCAGCGGAGGCAGAACGCCGTAGGATAGGACCGGGGGGGGGGGGAAGCCCGATAGTGCACACCGCTAGTGGGGATCCATCGAGGGGGATGTCACAGGGCATCTTTGGCAGCAGGCCCAGGGAATCGGGATGGGGTTGGGTGAGAAAGGCGTTTAGCCCTTGCGGCCTGTGATGCTCAGGATGAGGGAGAAGGCCAGAAGATCAGTCAATCTAACTAGGACTGCAAATAGGCTTTTAGAAAAGGAGAGGCCTTCCCTCCAGTCCTTTATATAAATAGCAAAGCTGAACAAGAACCAGGCACCGATGGGGGCAGAGGTTTGGTGCAGGACCTGGGAATTCCCTTCTTCTTAAGAGAGGAGCGCCCCCAGTTCAAGCTGGGGGCATCTGGAATCGGGTAGGGGAAGAGTGTGTGGTGGCGAGATGAAGAATCAAGGGTGTCCATGAGAACACTAAGGCACCCCCAGAATAGGAGGTGGAGCTGTGCTGGAGCAGTCTTTGCAGACCGGTTCGGAATTCGGAAGAGCACTTGTCATCTTAGGCCTACGTGCTTGGAGTCTTTGCAGGGCGGGGATCCTGCCTCCGGTCCGCGGTCCTGGAGTCAGGCAGGAATGATGTCATCGATGCCGGCGCCGAGGGGATGGAAGGGGGAGGGCGATGCCGATTTATGGAGGCATGGCCTAAAGAAGAGGATGCCTGCTGGCCATTGCCCTGGGGGTACCTGGCTGTCATTGCTGCCAGCAAACGGGTAGGAAAGTCATAGGCCTGGCCACTGGACAAGAGAAGGGAGAAGGGAAAGAATGCCTAGGCTGTGTTCATCTACTTAACCCACCGTGGGGCCAGTGCTGCAAGAGCTAAAACGAGGCAGGATAGGCCAGGAACCATGAGGCATGGATGCCTGCTTTGCTCTCTGCTGGCACTGACATGTGCTCTCCCACTCCTGAAGCTCGGGGGCTCCCTAAGTCTCTGTTAGTCAGAGTGGCCCAGAATAGGTTCTTTTCTTGGGGCTGCAGCTTCAGAACTGACAATATGCTTTGTGGTTTCCTAGATAAGTAGCTTGCCTATTACAGTAGCCAAGAAGGGCCAAGGTGGGAACTATGGCAATCTCCATGCCACATAGTTTGCTGAATAATTAGTTGCCATCTAGCTGGAGATGCGTGTCTTCTACTTTTTGTAATGCTGAAACAGATGAGCTCTGTAAAAGTGTATGATATTAAACAGAGAGAGAGAGAGAGTCCTGTAGGGCTTTTTCCTACCTCAATGCCACTACTGAATTATTTGGGAACCAGAAATCCCTGGGGAGAAGTTTGTTCTGCAAATGTAAAGGAGGGCCTTGGCTGGGTAGATATTTGATTAACAGTTTCTCTATTCAGCTAACTTTGTTTCCAAACTAGGATGCCCTTCCAGTTCTAAGCCAATTGGTTGTAAATGGGTAGATGAAAGGGGCGGAGGTTCTGGTTAGTTGAGGAAAGGAGTAGTTCTCATTTCTCATTGGAGGTTCCTGAGATAAAGCTGTCAAAGAAAAGAGAAGAAAAAGTAAGGCCATCAGGATTGTGCACTTGTCCTTGGTGACTCTTATTTCTGGTATTCTTTCTTAATCATGGGTGGAAGAGTCTTGAACTGTTTTGGTTTGTGTGGCCCTGAAGAAGGAGTTTGTGGTGAGGAGGTGCTCATTAGAATAGCTGTAGTTGCCCATGCCCTCTTTTGAGAGCTAAAGTAGTCTGCAAGAGAATACCAGGTTGAGGTTGAGTGAATCTTAAAGAAATAATAATACCATCTAACTCTTGGAGGTCATAGACATTACCCAGACTCCTTAAGTGTCCTTTATTCCACTGAGAACAGCAGAATCTTGTGTAGCATTCCCCCTCCCCCAAAGGACCTTCATTTGGGTCATAAGGAATCAAGGCCACACCACAGAGGTAGAGAGCAGAATGACTCCATAGCCATGTTTGGGGAAAGACCATCAAAGCTAGAGCCCCAGCCTCAGATTCACCTGTGATCACTTCCATTTTCTGCTGTTATTTATGGTGACCTCTAGGAAGTCTCTTGTCCTCCTTGAACTGTTTTTCCATTTACAAAACAAATTCAAACTATTCATTTAGTGTTTAAACAACAGTTCCTCATTCTCCCTTCCAAAGGATATCATGGAGGCTGATGTATCAACTCAGAAAATTGATTTACCAAACACTGAATGTCTACACTGTTCCAGATACTTCACAAGATATCAGGGACAAGGTGGTTAGCCACATACATTCAGATGGGCCTGCCCTGCTGGATCACACAGTCCGATAAAAGCTTATTTCTCTTCTCACTCCATGAGAGCATTGTGGAGACTGCATCCTTAGACCTCAAGAAAAGATGGAAGCTCATTGCACCTTTCAGGACCTGGGTGTAGGGACAGGGGCCTGTGTCTAGGACCCCATCATCAAATATTCCTTGCTCAAGGAGAGGCATCTTTTTCTTTATTTTTACTTGAAAGAGAAACTCATCTTGAGAAAGAGGCTTGGGGGAGTGGCAGCACTTGAGAAAGAAGGTGCAGCCAGTAGATCTGGGTGTTTCCAAGGTGCTAATTTAAGCATTAGCTCTCAGCTAGTGGGAGGCAGAGGAAGAAATCCCTGCCCTGTTGCTGCTGCTGTTGCTGCTGCTGTTACCACAGCTGCCTGGAGCCTCCTGTCTGGGGTGGGAGTTTGTCAGAAAGGAGTGGCTTCCCTTCTTTCCCTATCAGGCCAATTATTTAATTGGCCTGGCTGCATCTCAGCAGCTGAACCAGGCCCCAGCCTATCCCTGAGCTCCCCAGGGTCTCTTCTTGTCTCCTTGGGAAAGAAATGAGAGCTCTTCTTGGTGATCTATTCCCTGGGCTCCGCTTCTGCTGTGTCTGTCTTCCAGAAACTTTGGAGTGGCCCATTTCATGTGCCAGCTGTCCCATACACCTCACTAATCCAGGGAAACTCCCTGCTTCCCAGGGCTCTGTTGAGCAATTGAGAAATATTTGAGCTGTTGTTGGTATATGAGTTATGAGTGGCAGTAGGCATAGGCCCTCTGACCTGTTGTCTGTTCAGCTGGTTGGTGCAGCTACACAGTCTACATTTGGGAAGAGATTTGTTGCAAGAAAAACAAGTAGAGATTTTGAGTACTTAATTTCATCAAGCAATACTCTGCCTCCTGTTCAGTTGGAGGCATAAGATGCTTACAGAGTGGCATATGGCAACAGATGTGGTCCCTGCACACTTGAGAGAATGTTAGTCTAGCCTCAATTAAACCAGATTACCCATTAACTCATTTGTTTAGTTCATGAGTGTTTGCTATATGTCTGCTCAGTTCCTGGTACTTTAAGGATACAAAGACTAGTAAAGGCTCTGCTTATGGATCTCCAGGAGAAGGAGGGGCTCGAACAATAACAGGAAGGTTTATAGATATATGTCAGAATGCATAGTGATGCATGGTGATCCTGAGAGAACAAGAGGATGCTGCCATTTTGACCCTTTGGCTGTTGGAGCTGGAAGAAGAGTTTAAGATTTCTGTTGCCTGCTGACTCTAAGGGATGGAGATTGCCAGGGTGTTAACTCAGTGACTGGGCCACAGGAGCTCCTGAAAGTGGAAAGGAGAGCATCACAATTAGAAAGTCAACACTGGGAAGACTAACTTATATGTCTGCTCTAGTCTATGTGCCTTTAAGTTGTTCCTTGTAGTCAGATGGCTTTTCAGTTTAAGGATGTGGCTCGTGGGGAGAGGACATCCCTCTCTATCTTCCTCCACGGGAAACTGGGATTGGGTTTGCCAAAGCCTTAGTCTTTACCTACATAGCTCCTTCTCCAGAAAACACTATGGAAAAACCTAGCTGTTGTACTGGGCTCAACAGAGTCTTACCTCAGGAGTATGCCCAGAGAAGGGTTGTCTGAGCTTCACAGGATCACAGACAGAGTATGTATTTCTCTGAATATTTCTGCCTTGCAGCCTACTTTGCTGAGTACAGAGAATTGGTGGCAGCAAGAAACCACAGTCAAGTTTTTATTTATTGTTTTCTAGACAGAGTGTCATGTTACCCAGGGTGGCCTCAAACTCAGTAAGTCACTAAAGATGATTTGAACCCTTGATCTTCCTGCTGCTGCCTCTGTATGTAGCTGAGGATATAAATCTCAGTATAGCCAAAGATGACTTTGAACTTTGTATCCTCCTCCCTCCACTTTCTAAGCACTGGGATTCCAGTGTAATCTGAAATCCTGTGGCTTGGTATAAGTTTCTGGTCTGACTTCTCATCATCTATTTAGTCAAACTCACAGTTTTATTTCACTGGTTTATCTACCATGAATGTGTGCATGCCACAGCATTATCTGCAAGAGTCACAAGAGGTAGGGCATGTACCGCCCTTTTCTGACAGTGTTTCATATACCCTGCAAGCTCTACTTGGAGTTGAGGCCTCGATGCTACTCCCTTGCAGGAAAGGGGTGCTGAAGAAACAGATTTCCCTGGTGAGAGCACTTAGCAAGTTCCCCAGTGTGGCTTTCCAGCAGGTAACTAGTGTTCAGGCTGAGAAGTTCACAGGCTCAAGCAATCTGCTGCCCTTAAAATAAGAAAAGTATGCATGTCTTAACAATTACAATACTTTATGAAAACTTCATTTAAAATCACTGACAGCTGATTTTGGTATGAAATTATATAAAGACTCTTAAGCAAACTGTCCTCACATTTGTATCTGGAATATTAGAATAATCCTTAAGATTTTAAAGTTTATCTTCATTGGGTCATTTTACAGATGTAAGCTGCTGGCTAGGTATTACATAG